GATATTGTGGAAGGAATCATTGAGAAAGTTTTCGAAAGAAAGATTTGATAGTATGATTTTATGGAAATTTTAAATCCGGTAAGAAAGATTCCGTGCGATTTGAAAACCGCGCGTTATACGTGCACACAATGGTGAACAACCAGTCGCATTGCTCAAAAAGCGAACTGAAACGAATTATAGCGAACAAACAGTCGGAAAGCAATCATGCGAGTTGTAAATGTTCAGGCTGCAATTATCCTAGACCGGCTTACCTGTGGGCTTTGGCTCACGCACATATGCAAATCTGAGCGCAGTGCAGCCCGGTACTATATTAGTACCGATTTAACATTGTTTAAGCGTGGCAAATTTGTGATATCATTCGTGATAGTAGAACCAATTTATCATAGTAATAAGTGCCCTTAATTGGGTAATTGTAGATTACTGATGATATTCCTAGTTCTTTCGATAGGGCGGCTTGGGGCTTCGGAGGAGCCATCGTTAACGAAAATTGCAAACGAGTGTTGTTTTTCACGGGTCTACGATAACTTCGTCCGCGACAGGGTGCCACTCTGACAATTGAGTAGCATGTGCTTGCCTCACCATTTCTGTCGGAGTTTAGACTTGTCGCGGACGACAAAGTCGGTCACCCGTTTTGAAAACATCATGGATAATCTTGCGGTTAAATGTGTCTGTGAAAGTGATCCGTGCTGCAAAGCAGCTGCCCGAAATTTGGATGAGCTTCACTCCTGTAGATTCAGCTTCATTGTTTGCTTGGATGGATACCACAATAAATCTGAGGCTACACCCCGTGATGAGCCTCAGTGGAAAGCATGGGTTAGATTTTGATTGAGGCTGGTGAATAAGCCGATCACTTTTATTGAACACGTTAACTATGAGATTACCACCTTATGATATCTCTAACCTGATGAAAACGATTGCCGAATGTTGGCATTCATTAGAAAAAATAATATTAGGCAGAATATTTATTTCGAATTGTCGATGTATATCAGTTCATGTCATGTCGTTCTTCACCTCAACGGATCCAACAATTTGTCNGGAAGTGGTTCTCTTTTCAGGCTGAGCGTGGATCTTTTGTGCGATTTTCGATGCGGTTAGAGATGGCGCTACAGGATCATCTCCAACCGAATCGAAAATTGCACAAAGTTGATGAAGGATGAGTTTAAATTGCTATGAGATGAACATTTTTGTATATGCTGTATTCAGTGTTAGATGAAATTATTGCAGATTTACGGAATAAGCGAAAACCGCTGCCTCCACTAAATACTGCTGATGGATTGAATGGTACCTGCGTGGCTACGGATGTATCAGCAAAAAGGTATGTCAGCCGTGTGACTTTAATGTTACTTTATTTTTTATTGGTTCTCTGAAAGCAATTGCACATGTTGCGTATCGTATTTACTGCAAACTACGTTCATCTCGCGGAGAGCTGAAGTAATTTTGAGAATATTTTGAAGAGTAAATTGGTCACTATCATTCCCAGCCTTATGTACAGGCATTGGTTTCATATTATTTTAGATATGGAGTTCATAGACGGGAAAATGATATACAATGGATATATTTACCTTCATCAAAGCAAAATTTGTGAAGGTGAGAAATGGGTATGCGTGAAGCGGCGGCAGGGTTGTAGGGGTGCGGCTGTGGTTCAGGAAACAGTGAGGGAAGTCAACCAACACAATCATCCTCCAGTACCGTGCGATATTGAGGTGTTGAGATGTCGAAATGAATTGAAACGGAGAGCATTGACATCGAATGATCCACCTGCACGCATTTTGGCTGATGTGTTGAATCATATCAGTCATGAGGCGAAAGTAAAAATGGGCAATCTTTCAAATTTGAAACGTTTTATTCAAAGAAGTCGTAGCTCACGCTTGCAGCCTGTACCTTCGAGCGTGAAACAATCGCTACAGGGTCAGTTGATGAAGGGTGAGTTTGAATTGTTATGAGATGAACGTTTTTGTATATGCCGCATTCAGTGTCAGATGAAAAGTTTGCAGATTTACGGAATAAACGAGAACCGCTGCGTGTTCACTATCATTCTCAGCATTATGTACAGGCATTGGTTTCATTTATTTTTCAGGTATGGAGTTCATAGATGGGAAAATGATATACAATGGATATATTTACAATCGTCAGGGGAAAATGTGTGAGCGTAATAGATGGATATGCGTGAAGCGGTGGCAGGGATGTAGGGGTACAGCTATGGTTTATGAAACAGCGAGGGAAATCATCCAACACAATCATCCTCCAGAAGCGTGCGATATTGAGGTGTTGAGATGTCGAAGTGAATTGAAACGGAGAGCATCGACATCGAGTGAACCACCTGCACCCATTTTGGCTGATGTGTTGAATCATATCAGCGATGAAGCGAAAGTAAAAATGGGCAATGAATCAAGTTTGAAACGCTTTATTCAAAGGAGTCGTAGGCCCTACCTGCTAGCACCAGTCAAAAGGTGATCATATTCCATTGATATGAAATATTTCCTCATTTCTGAAATATTACCACGACATTGTTACCTGTTATCACTGTTTTGCATTGCTGATATTCATTGAGCGAATTACAATAACATGAAGTAGAATAACCAAGCCACTGATAATTTCCGTCAGCCTGAAACTGGAAAATGGTTTCAGTTTTATCATGAACGTCAATTTTCAGTTCGTGCCTTAAATACCACCTGCAACTTTCGTTTTCAGAACTATTGTAAATAAAGAAAGGCGAATCGGTGCTAATTATATAAGGCGGAGTATCGCCGTTCAAGTGGATTTGACTGAAGAAGTGGGAAAAGTCGATCAGATGACGCAAACGCGACCACGTTATGATCCTGTGGCCACTAAAGTTGTATACAAATTCGTTACGGATGAAGAAGCCGAAATGGATGAAATCGATGAATGCTTTCCCTTATTAAAACAGTGATATTTGAGCATGTCGGCAGGATTTTTCGGAATGGAATTCCGTTGCTGCATAATCGAAATTGCATGATGAGAAGCTGTGAAAGGAGAAAAATCAGGATTCAGCTGTAGAAGAAATCGTAGCTGGTGAAAACAACTGTCTTTGAAATTTGTATTGAATATGAATTTGATTCAACGTTACCGAATCTGAGCCATGTGCAAGTTTAGTTGCTAGGAATGTGAGCGTTATGATATCGAAACGAATTCAATCTCTTTGAATATCATCCTGGATTTTTTGGCTGGTTGAGTTCTCATTGCGTATCATACGGTTTTATGGGTTTCAGTGAGTGAGTAGTTCTGTTTCATTTGCATTCATTCTGTTATAATAATTTCTGATTTCATTTGTTACGTAGAATTACTGGTAAAACGACGGTGTTGGCGTTGGAAGAAAGTCGAATGCGGAATACGTTTGAATTTCTTACTAGAAACTTGAATTTGACCTGCATCGAATAAAGGAGCAAATTATAACAAGTGTTTATATGCTGATTTAGCAGAAAGAAAAATAAAAGGCTCTTGAAGTTTTATTTTTGAAACGAAACGATTCGGGTTCTTGGAAGGGAGTCCTTCGATATGGGAATGTAAATAATTTGGGCTAAATTATTGAGTTGTTACCAGTGTGTTCGTGGTTATTATGGGCATATCACGGGATATTGTCAGCACTAAGTATTGTTACAATTGTTATCAGTGTTGGGCAATAGCGCGCTATTCCGCTAGTCCGCTAATAGCGAATAGCGGAATAGCGA